GAAGGGTTTTGGGAGAAGACTAGGTGGAAGATAGGAGTAGTGAAAATGAGGTAAAGGTTTGGCTGGGGGGCGATGAAGCACGTGCATCAAAACTCCAAAAGGTTTAGTTGTGGCGACGGGGCCCCGGGGGGAAGGAGAGGGGAGGAAGACGCCCCTCGGTGATTGCGGGTCGGGGCTCGGGCGGGGCGGGGGGAGGCCCCCGCGGCACGTGTATGTTGTTTCCCTGCGGGCGGGCGGGCGGGCGGGTGGGTGTTTACCGACACCACAGACGCATCCAAACACGCAGCCGACGAGACGGGACCCGGGGGAAAGGGGGGTCTTAAAGACACGCGGACAACTCCCCCCACCCCACCCCACCTACCCCACCCTGATAAGCCAAGCCTACAAAAAAACACCACACACACAGAGATAGATAGATAGATAGATAGATAGATAGATAGATAGATAGATAGATAGATAGATAGATAGATAGATAGATAGATAAATAGATAGATAAATAGATAAATAGATAGATAAATAAATAGATAGATAGATAGATAAATAGATAGATAGATAGATAGAGAGAGAGAGAGAGAGAGAGAGACAAAGTCGCGCCCAGATTACATATCATATATCATTGACCCACAGCTCCCAGCTGGAGCCTCTTGCACCCCATTCCGGGTTGCAAAACCCAAAGCTGTTGCCTTTTAACTCTTTACCCCCCTCCCGGTGAGGGTTGGGATGGCTGTTCAGGATGTGTATTTCTTCTACACATCCTCAGCCCCCGGTCCTTCCCCCCTCCTCTTGAACCCATGTTCCCCCCCCACACACACCCCTTCACCCCTACCTCAGCATGGCCCTATCCGGAAACACCTGGGATATGAACTTGGCTACGCTGATGTTCGCCAACACCATGAACTCCTCCACGAGCTGGTTGGCTTCCTGAGGGGGGTGATGAAGAGGGGGAGGTTGGTGCCCGGGGGGGGGGGTGCGGCCGGGGAAGACGGGAGGGAGGGGCGAAAGAAATAAAATAAAAAATAAAATTATATATTTACGATGGAAATGAGTTGTATAGCCGCATAAGTTGACTGATTGTATTCTTAATAGGGTGGGGCCGGCGGGGGGGGCAGGGGGCAACGCGTCATCCAACGCCTCGTCCATTACCTCGTATTGGAACGCAACGGCACAGTCCCTCTCTCCCTCCCCACATGTGCACACGCACACACACACGCAGACACCTTCTGCACGTACGGCGCCGCCGCCACGGGGTTCCCGTCCTTGTCCATAGAGAAGAACAGCCGGGTGTTGTCCAGTCTGAGAGCGCCCCCCTGGAA